GCTTCATATATTTTTTTGTTTTTATGATTAAAAAAATGTAAAGCTGATTTAGAGAAATGATCCAATTGCCTACAAGTCGTAAGAGGAAAGTCATAACTCTTGCAGATTTATCTCTCTGTCTCTCTCACTCTCTCTCTCTATATATGTATATATGTATGTATATATATATATATATATATATATATATATAGCGAGAGAGAGAGAGAATATTGGGCACTGAGCTACAGTGCTCATTGTCATGCTGCCCCGCAACAGGCAACACCCACTTTCCACTTTCCTGTCCCCTGGACTGAAGACTCACATGATTCCTCCACTCCTCCTGGAATCCTACTGAATCCCTAAAGCCACCCTATATGGCACCCTGCCCCCACGTTCCCTGGAGAAATCATTCCATTCTCTGTCCCCTCAAATTCTTGCAGTGATAAAACTACCCTAAACCCCCCCCCTCTTGACTGACATATGCCCAAATCTGATATCCCATCAATGAAAGTTGACAAAATTTATCTCTCACTGGATGCAGACATCATGAATGACATTATGCACATGGAAAAACCTGTAGTGCGTGACCTTTCTCCATCCATGGCCAGTCTGGAACTTACTTTGTAACTTTGTCCTCTTCTTTTTCAACTTCAATAAGTTTCATATCTCACCAAATTAGTTTATTCCTTCCCTCTCAATGTTTCATAGTGTGTATTTAAAGACATCATAACAAGTTAAGCACACCAACATATATCCATCTTTGCTTAACATCATCTATTGTCTATTGTTAAATATTGTCTCTCGTATGTTGCTGCTTCACATTCACCTAACACTGAAAACTGACTGATTGCTTTCATTGTGTCTATGTGTATGTTGTATGTTCCTGCTTCACATCCACCAAAACTGAAAACTGACTGATTGCTTTCATTGTGTCTATGTGTCTCTGGTAGATTGTCATCTGTAGCCCTGTCCACATTATTGTGATGTTTATGTTGTTCTTTAGTGTCTTACCTAAATTATGGGCTGATCGTATCTGTACAACTCTGCCCCTTTTGCAAGCCTGATTCTGATGTGCAAAGATTGCTTTGCTAGCTAGGTGCCCTTTATTAACTCCTGATTGATTCATTGACAAATAACTCCCACCCCAGTCTTAACAATATAAAGCTAGACCACCTTTAAGTGTTAATAAACCCACAACAGTAAAATTAGACTGCATATGCAGTAAAGCATGCTTGTTGCACTCACTGTGGAACCTAAGGAGTCCTCTGCATTGTGTGCATTGTCTTCTCTGATCCTCCCCTTCTTCCACAGTCCCCAATCCATCTGCTGATAGAACGGAGCCTTGGGGGCAAGCTGCATATGCTCAGTTTGGTGTGTATTGCTAGAGAGTTTTGTTTTCTTCGGAGAGTGCATGGGATCAGCACAGGGCCAATCAACGCTGTCCAGACAAAGGGTCGGGGGATCTGCAGCCTCATAGAACAATCAGGGAAGAATGAAAACTCCCCCTACAAGCTTTAACCAGTGCTCTGCTGGACACTGATAGAAGTCCCAAGACTGCTCTAACTGGTAATGAGAAAAGGTATTTAGCAGTTTATATTTACTAAGACATTTCCATGTTGCGTGTACTGTGAGAGACCAGATATTGTGAATGTAGGGTCATGGGTTTAGTATCACTTTATGGAGGAAGCACATTGCTGAGGTTCTTTTCACAAGTAGGTTCTTTATTTAAGTGGGTGCACTTCAGGCCCTGCACTTCACCGATTGCATAAAGCAAAAATACACAGCAAACTACTATGAAAAACACCAAACAGACTGCATGTGACCTTGTTTGCCTATTCAGTTCTTCTTCCTCTCTGTAACATGCACTCTCTACCACTTCCTCTCTCCTTCAACTCTCTTTCTTTCAACACTTTTCTCCACCCCACAGCTTTTATATATATATTTATTTCAGATACTTATATAGCGCCGTTAATTTTATGCAACGCTTTACATATATATTGTACATTCACATCAGTCCCTAACCCTCAAGGGGCATACAATCTAAGGTCCCTAACTCACATACATACATACACATACTAGGGCCAATTTAGCCAGGATCCAATTCACCTACCAGCATGCCTTTGGAGTGTGGGAGGAAACCGGAGTACCCGGAGGAAACCCACGCAGGCACAAGGTGAACATGCAAACTCCAGGCAGGTGGTGCCGTGGTTGGGATTTGAACCAACCACCCTAGTACTGCCAGGTGGAAGTGCTAACCATTTAGCCACTGTGCTGTATATCACCCTAACTTCTGCCCTCTCCTTATTATTGCGCTCACCAACTCCTGCTTATTTCTAAACCTCTAAATATCCACTTTTGGGTGCCTGTGTTGTAAGACTAAGTCTTAGAAAGATTTCAACCAATATAAATCTGCCCTCCAAAAATACAATTTTTTGCCTCCGCACTGCCAAGCAGACCTATTTTAATACTCTCAATAACAACTTCTCATCCAATCCCTGTCAACTCTACTCTGCCTTCAACTCTCGACTTTATCGTCTACTGCCTTCACCCACTAACTCACTCACTGCTCAGGATAACTCCAATCACTTAGAAATAAGATTGGTACAATTTGTGATGAGATCTCCACTGCGCAAATACCTCCCTCATTTAACATTTCATGTCCACAGCTGCAATAATTACCTCCCTCATTCAACCCCACTACTAGATATGAGGATGCTAAACTTTTTTTCCAATGCCCACCTAACCACTTACCCCCTGGACGCTGTTCCCTACGGTCACCCTCTGGCTCTATCCTACACTCTCTAGCTCACATCTGCAATCTCTTCCTTTCTTCCAGCATCTTCCCCAACTCTCTAAAACATGCATTAGTCACCCCAATACTTAAAAATCTCTCATTGGATCCCAACAATCTTAACAACCTACGTCCCATCTCCTTGCTCCCCTTTTCCTCTAAACTCCTTAAACGTCTGGTCTACAATTGAGGGACCATCTCATTAAGAATAACCTTCTTAATCCTCTTCAGTCTGGATTTTTCCCTCAACACTCCACAGAAACTGCTCTCCTAAAATTCACAAACAATCTACTAATGACAAAAACCAATGGACACTATTCTCGTACTCTTGGACCTCTCTGTTTCCTTTGACACAGCGGACTGTGGACCACCCCCTCCTCCTTAAAAAACTCCATTATTTTGATCTCCATGACTGTACTCTTCTCTGGTTTTCATCCTACCTATTGCACCGCAGCTTCAGCGTCACTTACAATTTTACCTCCTCCTCTCTTCTTCTTTTCTCAGTCAGGGTCCCCCCAAGGTTCTGTTCTAGGACCTCTGCTATTCTCAATCTACATTTCCTCCCTGGGTCAGTTGCTAGCCTCAAATGGCTTCCAATACCATTTCTCTGCAGATGACACCTACATTTATCTCTCTACCCCTCAGCTCACTCCATCAGTCTGCACATGCATCACTAATTTCCTAAAAGACATTTCAGACTGGATGTCATACCACTTCCTCAAACTATCTAAAACCAAGCTCGTAATATTTCCTACCCCATGTGCCTCCTCACATGACTTCACTGTCAAGATTGATGACACAACTATCAACCCGACCCCGCATGCAAAGGTACTAGGTGTTATCCTGGACTTTGAACTATCCTTTTAGTCCCACATTCAATCATTGTCCAAAGCTTGTTGCCTCAGCCTTCGCAGCATCTCCAAAATGCACCCCTTCCTAACCAATAACACCACAAAGCTTCTAATTCACTCCTTGGTCATCTTTCGCCTCAACTACTGCAACCCCCACCTCATTCGCTTACCTTTACATAGGCTATCCCCTCTTCAGTCATTCATGAATGCTGCTGCCAGACTCATTCACCTTAGCAACTGTTCGCTGTCTGATACTCCTCTCTGCCAAATCCCTTCACTGGCTTCTGCTCACCTAACGAATTAAATTCAAAATACGAACAACAACTTACAAAACCATCCACAACGCACCCCTCCAGCTGCAACACTAACCAAGTTTGAAAATACCAACCAAAGCGTTCTCTTAATTTCTCCCAAGACCTCCTGCTCACTAGTTCCCTTGTCACCTCCTCCCATGCTCGCTTCCAGGACTTCTCCCAAGCCTCTCTCATCCTATGGAACTTCCTACCCCAATCTTTCCAACTATCTCCTACTCTTCAGAGACACCTATCCTGTCCCCACCTAATCCTGTCTCCACCTAATCCTGCCCCCACCTAACAATTGTACTTTTATTTTTCTCCATCAGTTCATCCCCCACAGTTATTACGTTCTGTATCTCTTAAAACTCACCCTTAGATTGTAAGCTCTAATGAGCAGGGCCCTCTGATTGCTCCTGTGTTGGATTGTATTGTAACTGTACTGTCTGTCTTTGTAAAGTGCTGCGCAAACTGTTGGCGCTATATACAGTAAATTTTGTATTATAAAAACTATATCATTAATAATCATAACAAGTTTACCAGATTCTATCAAAATTATTTCTAGCTTGTGTCAAATGAATATGATGCAATTTGTACCTATTTTGTATATGCTATAACCAATAAAAACATATTGTCCCAAAAAAAATGCAGGCCCCAATATAAAGATACCCACATTACCCTTCCCCAGTCTATGACATCAAAATTATACCTATGTTGTTTTTTTGTGAGTTACATGTAAAATGAAAACATTACTATAACTATTTAACTATTTGCCAGTCTTTAGAATGCTACTTTGTTTTCTTAAACTATGTATACTAATAGAATGTTGTTTTTTATAATTGATTTATGATTGAAAATGTGGTAATTTAATGTCAAAATAACATTATGGTATATTATCGTTGTAATTGCCTGTTTATTAAAAGTTTTACTACATCTTGATTGCTAATACTTTGGCAAATCTCTATTACATTTTGTGTTGCTTTTTAAATTATTCCAGTCACTCTGCCTTGATTTAATGCTAACATCTTTCCTTCAGTTCCTTGCTTTAAGATAGTTTTTTTAATTTATCATTCCTCTTTTTACTTACCGAAGCCTCCCGTTCAGATGGTAGCAGGCTGCGTGACCATTACTCATAAAAACAGCTTGTATTTGTGGTTTGTGCTTCGTATCTTCCATGACTATGAAGGTTAATTGGGCGGATTTTGAACGGGCAATCAAGATACCAATATTTCCTGATGGATAGCTGATTTATAGTTAAGGACAAGAGATTATTGTAGTAACTTAAGAAATTCTGGGTAAAAAAAGATACTACTGAGCATATTAATAGACCATAACATATGTTAAAGCTCCCAAAGACTCTCTTGTAGCCCTGATGTAAAAAACAAAAATATTTTTTATCATTCAATAGGATAAAATATTAAAACATTAATCTGTTATTATGTCATATGTACTGGGTCTCTATGTTTGTATTGGATTTGTCAGTGTGAAATGAGATGAGCATTGTAAAATAAACTCCTAGGTTATCAAACTTTAAAGGCCAATTGAAGTCACAAAAATAGAAATACATCACTTTTTTCTTTGGCAATGTAAAAGTCTGTGTAAGGACATGATGAGTAGTGTGCTTGGTAGACCATAGAGCACTCTGGAAGAGAAGCAAGTACATTTCCTCTGAAAGAAAAATCTTAAAATCATACTATACAGGGATACTCACAATCTGATATGCATCTATTAATAGAACATGTCTATCAAACAGAATAAAAATTAGATGTTGATTATAGGATGTTGAATAATGTGGACAAAAAATGACTAGAGTTCGGAACTGCACAGTCTATGCATTTGTGCAATTTTCATATCTATCTATTGTAGACTATATATACTAAAGATATATTGGGTAAAAAATAAATAATATAAAGCAATACAAAATGATATAGAGTAAAAAAAAAATTGGGGCAACTGTAGATGAGTAAAAACGACTGCAAGTCATAGAATCTCATTTTTGTGATGTTATTGTTGCAAATTAATGTCAGTAGTGTTAAAAAAACAACAAACAATAAAAAGCTTAGGTGGCCCAAACCTGGGTATTGGGAGATTACATGTTTAGTTACATAGCTATTTAAATAGCTTCAGCCATTTATCTACATAGTGTATTTGTGCCACAAATACAGTAAATACTGTCAGGTTTTTAATGCATCCCATGACCAAACTGAAGAGATTTCACCTCAACTTGCTATCCCTGTCACAGCAGGCAAAAAAATAAGGGTATGGTTGTCACTGGGATAGGACGACACAGACATTAAGCAGATAGAGGTTTAAACCATTCCCATTTAAAATGTGCAATCTCAATCACAACTAAAGAGATCTTCACCATTTCCTTTTAAAATGCGCAAGCTCAGTTACCCCACTGAAGAGATTTTCCATCACTTTCAGCCCTGCCAGTAATTGAGGTGAAATTTCACCAGTGAGGACATAGACCACAAATAAAAAACAGGAGTTCTAACCTTCCTAAATCTGCCAAAACATAAAAAAAATAAGTTTGGACTGAATTTGTTTTAACCGCAGCAACATAAATACCCTGTAAAAAAATCATATCTTCACAGTGTTTCAGGCTGTCTTACATATGGGATACACATCTTCTGCAAACTGAATCTGATCATATAAATCATCACAGATGTCCTTCTGCACAGTCAGATGCATTGTGCTGGGCTCTACATTGTGTGTGACAGCCTGCATGTATTATTCAAATAAATTCAAGATGAAGCACTCATTGAAACAAAGGTCTTACAGCAGATGCTGTGCATTTGTCACTGGCTAGAATGATGCAAATAACTGAAAAGAAAATAGCCAAGTGTGGATGGCCCTTAAAGGAAATAAATACTTTTTTTTTTGTTTAATATATACTGTATACACTAAATTGTCCAAGTATTGGGACACCTGCCTTTACATGCACGTGAACTTTAATGGCATCCCAGTCTTAGTCCGTAGGGTTCAATATTGAGTTGGCCCACCCTTTCCAGCTATAACAGCTTCAACTCTTCTGGGAAGGCTGTTCTTAAGGTTTAGGAGTGTGTCTATGGGAATATTTGACCATTCTTCCAGATGAGCATTTGTGAGGTCAGGCACTGATGTTGTACAAGCAGACCTGGCTTCCCATCTCCTATTTAATTTCTCCCAAAGGTGTTCTATTGGGTTGAGGTCAGGACTGCAGGACAGTCATGTTTCTCCTCCCCAAACTCGCTCATCCATATCTTTATGGACCTTGCTTTGTGCACTGGTGTGCAGTCATGTTGGAACAGGAAGAGGCCATCCCCGAACTGTTCCCACAAAGTTGGGAGCATGAAATTGTCCACAATGTCTTGGTATGCTGATGCCTTTAGAGTCCCCTTCACTGGAACTAAGGAGCCAAGCCCAACCCCTGAAAAGCAACCCCACACCATAATTCCCCCTCCACCAAACTTGGCTTAATGCAGTCAGGCAAGTACCGTTCTCCTAGCAACTGCCAAACCCAGACACATCTATCGGATTGCCAGACAGAGAAGTGTGATTTGTCACTCCAGAGAAACACATCTCCACTGCTCTAGAGTCTAGTGATGGCGTGCTTTACATCACTGCATTTCACTTGGTGATGTAAGGCTTGGATGCAGCTGCTCAGCCATGGAAACTTATTCCATGAAGTTCTTTACACACTGTTGTTGTGCTGATCTGAAGTCCACATGAAGTTTGGAGATCTTTAGCTATTGACTCTGCAGACAGTTGGCAACTTCTGCGTCCTGTGCACTTCAGCATGCACTGACCCCGCTCTGTCATTTTATGTGGCCTACCACTTTGTGGCTGAGTTTCTGTTATTCCCAGTTGTTTCCGCTATGTTATAATACCACTAACAGTTGACCGTGGAATATTTAGTAGCAAGGAAATATCATGGATGGACTTACTGCACAGGTGGCAACCTATCACGGTATAATGCTTGAAATCACTGAGCTTCTGAGAGTGACCCATTCTTTCACAGATGTTTGTAAAAGCAGTCTGCATGCTTAAGTGCTTGATTTTATACACCTGTGGCCATGAAGGTGATTGGAACGCCTGAATGCAATGATTTGTCCAAATAATTTTGGCAATATAGTGTATTATTAAAGTTTTACTAAACCCACAAAAGTAAAATCAGTTTATATATGCAGTAAAGCATGCTTGTTATACTCATTGTGGAACCTAAGGGGTTGATCCTGACTTCTCTGATCCTCCCTTTCTTCCAGTGTCTCCCTCTTATCTCCTGATAAGACATATCATATGGAGACAATGCACATGCTCAGTTTGGTGTGTATTGCTAGAGATGATTTTTTTTTTCTTGTGAGAGTGCATGTGATCAGCACAGGGCCAATCATCACTGCCCCGACAGAGGTCAGGGGTTCTACATCCCCCTAGAGAAAACTCCTCCTACAAGCTTTAACCAGTGCTCTGCTGAACACTGCTAGAAGTCACGACTGCTCTAACTGCTGATGAGAAAAGGTATTTAGCGGTTTATATTTACTAAAATAATTGAATTTCCATGTTCTGTGTACTGTGGGAGTCCAGATAGAGTGAATGCAGGGTTTTGGGTTTAGCAACACTTTAATGCTTGAAAATAAATAAGTATTCATTATTTTTTATTGTTGGGTACTTATAAAATATTTCAAATTAATATTTTTATATTTATCTTTTGCAAGCAAGTAGGTGGCGTTCTAAGCTTCTATTCATGTATTAATCAGACTAATCTGAACTAGTTTCCTGGAAAAGCCTTTTGTTTGCAGAGGTCATAACTGAAGCTGAAACTGCATGGGCACAGCAGAATGTGTCAGAAGAATGATTCAACCCTCCCCACTCTCTCCACACGTCCATATTGCACAGCTCCATACAGACTGTCAATTTGCAAGAAACAATCTGAAAATAAACAGCTTCTGCTGTACTCTCCTTAAAAAAAAACATTATCTTTGGGCATAGAGGAACATGTATCCTCCTTTGAAACACCTAAAACTGAATAGTGCCACTTGTTAAGTGGCAACACCAGTTTAGAAAGAGTTTTTGAGTACCCAATAGAGTAGTGAAGGAGCATGCAGAAGGTAGTTATTAGCTGTCATTTTTTTTTCTTACAAGAAAACCTGTCGCTTTGTCCTGAATGGGAAGAATGACAGAGAACCTGTCACTTTGTCCTGAATGGGAAGAATGACAGTGACAGTCTCTAATACTCCACAAGAAACAACTTGCTAAGTTCAAAATTAAAAAAAATCAAAACTATCATCAGTTAGGGGAAACACTGATATTTAGCTATAAGCCCTTAAAGTGTTACTAAACCCAGGACCCTGAATTCACTATATCTGGTCTCCCACAGTACACAGAACATGGAAGTGCAATTATTTTATACCTTTTCTCATCAGCAGTTAGAGCAGTCTTGTGACTTCTATCACATGCACTCTCCCACGCTGATCACATGCACTCTCCCACGAAAGTAAAACCTCTCTAGCAATACACACCAAACTGAGCATGTGCAGAGTGTCTCCACACAATATGTCTTATCAGGAGCTAAGAGGGGGACACTGGAAGAAGGGGAGGATCAGAGATGTCAGGATCAAACAGCGTTTTTACATAATGCAGAGGATTAACCCTTTAGGTTCCACAGTGAGTATAACAAGCATGCTTTACTGCATTTAAAGACTGATTTTACTGTTGTGGGTTTAGTAATAAGTAAAACGTTATCATGCAGTTTATATCATTGACACATCATATGATAATGCCTTATATTTACTTTGTAAGGTCAAAAGATAAAGGCTAACTCCATTTTTTAAGCCATGTAACACCCATATTTAGAGTGTAACATATAACATGGTGCCAAGTGGATCCCCCACCTGACAGTGTTTAGGGTGTCCTCTCCTCCTGCAGCAGTTGTTCTTCTCCACCTGCACAGCCTCATCATTCATTCATAGAGATTTCTGAATGAATAAACTCTGTCAGATGGAGTTGTAGCTCTCAGTGATACACAAGGGCCAGGGTCACCTCCAGCTTAATAACCGAAAGCCAGTACCTTGGCACAGACATAGAACTGGAGGAAGGGTCTGCAGGAGCCTGTGCATTGCATCTGTGAACCTCTGATATATGTGCATTTATTATATTTTTGCAGAAGTTGAACATAGCCTTTACGTTATCAGCTAGTTAATAGGATGTATCATCTGTTTTCTGTAAGGTATATAAATGGGACATTGCTGAGTTATCTGGAAA